TAGCGGCTCGTTCTGGATTATACATCCATTACCCAGATACCCCAACATTCCATCCATTTGGTCGTGGAAGCCCTTTCACTCTAGATTTTGTGCTGTCCAACAATTTGTTCAACATGACAAAACCTGTGGCCTTCAATGAACTGTCATCAAATCATCTGCCGGTTACTTCCGAAGTTAGTCAAACGGGATCTCCTGAACCACACACTAACACCAACCGGTGGAAACTAACGATTTTAAATTGGCTCACTACTTGACTAGCCTATTGGTACCAAGCAAACGATTAACGTACCCCGTTCTAATCAAAATTCTATACTACGCTATGTTTGTTTTGATTCGCTATGAAAGCTTGACAGATAAAATGAGGGGTTCGTGGATTTTCAAATGTTTCGAGGGGTGTATCGATTAGCTTGGGATCGAAGATAGTACTAGAGCTGCAATAAGCTGGATTACCGAGGTGAAGCAGTCGGTTAAGTTGTGTGAGTAAAACCCCTGTATGATACAAGCAATTAGTGACGTCACTAATTGCATTTACGTTGATTTTTTGGATTACTAATACAACCATATTTCACGATCTGCTTCACCTCTCTTTGTACCTCATTGCTAGAGCTGAAGCCAAAAAGTTGAGCACGTTTCTTCGGGACCTGCTGGTCTAACGTTTTAGTTTGAAGCGAACCCTCACCCGGGTTGCAACCTAAGAGCTGTCAAACTGATTGTTTGAACGCCAGTTACCAACCTAGGTTCACCACCAAGCAACCTGAAAAACGACTAGGTTCGATCCCGAATTTTTTTCGAGGTTCATCAGTTTCACGCATACATTCAAAACTTATGGTATGGGTAAAAGTCAGACAGAAAATATTGAATTGTTATGAACTTTTATATCAATATTTACCTTGCGATAAAATTCGGGTCTTTTCGGCCCAAATGCGCTATTCAAATGACTGTATCTCTGAAGCCAAAAGCTCGATGATCTTGAAATTTGGTGACTTTTCCAAACTTCTGGGAAAGTTTCAAGAGTTTTTGAGCACGTACAGTGACTAAGAAATAAAAAAAAATCACTCGTCCGGCTTCTGGGTCTTTTAAAATCCAATATTGTTTCCGCAATAAAATTCACAATTTGAGTGCGATTTTCAGTATAACTGCAGCAAGAGAAGTGCGAGTCATCTAACTGTACAAACCTCTTTTTGCCATTTAAGCGGTCAGAATTCCATTTGGTCATCATGAATCAACTACAAACCGGAGTGGTTCCGGGAGAATGGAAACCGGCTGTTCTGCGAAGATTTTTTTGAGAAAATATGATGCTGCGCCATGTGCCATATGAGCCATATGAGACATCGCTTACTCCGGGAGAAGTAGTCTCCAGAAGATCCAGAACACCCGTAAAATTGGTCCAATCATAAAAATCAATCTAAATCCTCGCGATTTTTTTTTTCAAATTTCGTTTACTTTACTTGAATAGTTACATACGATGTGTAAACATTATTTGGACTAAAGAGCCTTAATTTATAAAGAGACGATATGTCCAAATTGAAACAATCAATTATCTGTCAAAGTCATAGGAAAAGTTATTCCAATCGAGCAGAAGACCTGTCAAATGGATAAGATGTCGCCTCTTTACCCAATTCAGTCTCTTTAATTTGGACCATCCATGGCCTCACGCTGGTCCTTTAGAAAAGCCGGGACATCCGTTAACAGCCAGAAGCCCAAGACTGCAAACAGCATATCGATTCATGTTAGCATGGTTGGTTCATGGGATTGTGATGATCTATTTTTGTAATTTAGCCACCATTCGATATATATATATAGGGTAAATTATGGCTTCGGCACCCATTGACTGTTTTCGGCAACCGAAATTGAAACGTTTATTTCACTGTATTTTCCCATCAAAACTCTTCGCTGAATGTATTAAGCCGATTCCTTACCTTTTCAGCTTAAATCTAATTACATTTTTACGACTGTGAATTTCTGTTATACCAGTTCAAATGGAAAGGGTGCCGAAGAAAAAGAGACTGCCGACAATAGTCACTCTCACCTGAGAAGTTTGGAGCGTTGTAAAAACATGTTCAACCCGTTTTGATCAATTCTGTCGATTGGAATTGGTAGAACAGCAAGCAGCAGATAAATGTCAACAAACAAACCTGTCATGTATGTGTGTGACGCTGAGAAATCGCTAATAGGAGTTCGGACGCTGCTTAGATTGACGAGAATACGTAAATTCCCCTATATAGCAATGTACTTTCAAATGAAATAGAAATTTACCTGGTTGGACCTGCATTTGGTCAACCGGATCGGAAAAACCGAATCGATTCATGTTGGCACGGTTGGTTCTCAGCAATGCGTCCATCAAATTTTGAAATTGTGCCCTAATTTAAAAGGTATTGGCTTTTCAGCAAAACCGATAGGAAATCGATTGAACTTGTAGTTGGCCAGCCGGACCGGGAATACTAGTGAGAGGATTATGGTCTGAAGATTCCTGGAAAACCCCGTGTACGGTCAATTCTTGAAAGCCAGCCTAGAGATAAGAGATTTTTTGTAATTTGCATAGAATATTGAGCATAGATGAAATATGCAATCCTCATACCGATGCTGTTACTGGGTGCCAGGCAAACGAATCTCCAGATATCCGGAATCACCAGGCAACGGTCAATTCCTGAAAGTCATCCTAGAAATACACAATTTTTTTTCTAAATTGCATAGAATCTTGAGCATAGCTATAACATGTAATCCTCAGACTGTCTGAAAACGGTTTTATGAATATCCCGAATTACCGCAAGTAATGTCAATTTTTAATTGTGGTACGCGACATATGCTGTTTTGTTGAACTGCATACAATTTTGAGCAAAGACGAAATATGCTATTTCAATACCGATTCTGCTGCTTACTGTCCTTATTACTCAAGGATATGTAATCATCCTGTTGGATTATGTCTCCTTCATGGTCATAAATTAGTGTTAATCAGCTTGGCAGCGGACTCAATCAGCAGCGAGCAATAGAATGCCCAGTGCATATATAAACTTAAGAGATGAACTAGCCTATGGCTAAAAATCTCTTTAATAAAGAAAAAAAATATATAAACTGAAAACTGATGTTAAAGAATCCCTTGGCAGCTAGCTGTCATTGCCTTTTTGACTTTTCTATTTCAAGTCACACATACACATGTACGCAACATTTCAGTTCACCGCGAGAGTGATAGTTTGAAGAAACTAACCCAGTTTCGAACCTGGTTCACCAAACTAAAACGGCATTAGAGTTACCTCTATGGTGATACGCTGTACGCTACACCAACTGAAAAAGCAAAACTGCTTACCGAAAACTTTGCAAAATCACACAATAACCAAATGACTAGCGATCCGGCTACCGTTGAAGCTGTGGAGACATCCATATTTTTTTTTCTTTGTGATTGTCTTTACAGACGGCTAATACCATAGTTTGGTCCATCTCGCAATCCATATTTCTTAAAGGATCGAACTTTTCAAGTGTTGGTCAATGGGTGCACATCTGACCGGATGAGCGTTCCTTACGGAGTTCTTCCCCAAGTAGCACAATTATGCCCAAAAAGTAGCTGCAACTTGTTTATAACTGAAATAAGTCGTATAGAAGTTTCCAACACCAATTTATAACAAGGGTGCTACTAGGGTCAGGGTTCTGTATTGAGTTCATCTCTGTAGAACATCTTCTCAACTGACCTCATCAGAGTGAACGGTGTTCACTACTACTTTTTCGTGGATGACACCGGATTCTTACCCTCACTCACATCGTGATACCAACATAGTTGTTGTGAAATTGCAGCAAGCGCAGGACGCGATCCAGGAGTACCAGGAATAGTGGAAGAGTTTAGGCAGGGCAAGTCAATTGACTTGATCAACTCACTTGAATTGATAAAAAAGTTGAACCAGGCTCAACTTTTCAAGCCAATTAAATTCAACTGAGTTGATCATTTGACTTGCCTAGTCTAAACCCAGCTTTAAGCAAATCCTACCAAGTCTCAGGTAATTTTCTTCACTCGTAGGCGTAGCATCCAGAAATACGACAAACGTACTAAAACACTTTATCCGTTCGTGAATCGATTCTCGCGCTTCGATCCCATCACTAAGCTTCTGCTATACAAAACCATATTCCGGCCTACGGTTGCATATGGATTTCCTGCTAGGTGCTAAAAGCCACCGCAACAAAATATAAATCAAGCAAAAGCGATTACTGAAGATGATGCTGAACTTGGATCATTTCCACCCTACCGAGGATGTTCACAGGCTCTCTGGTGTCGAGAGAATAGACGATTGGCTCCTGCGACTGATACCTAAATTCCACATGAGTTGTTTGTTGTCTTCAAACCCCCTTCTTGATATTAAAATTATGCTTCGTCTTTTTTTCTAAATAAAATTTTTCCTTCCATGCTTATTTTTGTAACTTGTTCATGAGTATACAATAGACCAACACAATCCCCATGTTCTGCGAGTCAGTGCATTTGATTTTCACGGAGAGTCGACCTCACCGGTGACAGAGAGTCACGTGACTCGCAGAATAAGGGAGTGTAATTGTAATTCATAAAATTGAAATAAATAAATAAATAATGATAATCTTAAAAACTTCAGGTGAATATTAGGTAGGTAGATAAGGTGACGATAGTATAGACCTACACTCAAAAAATTCCACACATTCTTATTGACGAATTTCCATGTGAAATTCCACATGATTTTTAAGTGACCACACATAAACAGAATGCACTCAGAAGTACACATGAAATTTATGAGTCAAATTAATTAGTATGTGTGGTCACACATGGCTTTTATGTGTACACATATTAAGTATGTGTCCGACACATAGATATCATTTGTTGATCACATTGCAAAAATTCAAGTGTAGGACACATAAAAACAATCTTTGAAATTTTATTAGTGTACCTTACTTTCCTATATTTCTTAGGGTTATACCCCATCCGGCATATAGTGAACGACGTTGGCCTAAAGTATGCACTACATACTATATTATCTTCCTAATTGTAGGTAAACGGCGACGGACGTTGACCCCTCAGAAACCAGCAGCTCCACCGTCGTCCAGTGCCGCCGATCAGCAGTACGAGGATGACGATGACGGAACGATCTGTTCCATTTGCTTGGACAGCTGGACCTTGACCGGCGAACATCGGTTGGTATCGCTGAAATGTGGTCACCTCTTCGGATACATGTGCATCAAACGCTGGCTTCAGGACAATCCGATGCAGAGCCGTTCCTGTGCGACGTGTAAAACCAAGGCACACCTCAGAGATATTCGGCATCTGTATGCCAAGGCGGTCAAAGCGTTGGACAATTCCGAAGAAATGCGGCTGAGGCATCAGGTGGAAGAGGAAAAAATGAAAGTAAGTAAGTTAGCCGTTGAGCTGCAGGTGGCCAGTATGGAGCTAGAACTGCAGAGGACGCTAGCAAACGAATTGCGGCTAAAGCTGAAAGATTACGAACAACGAGGAGAGCTGAGAACGAACGCTTCCCTGATGGGAGAAGTTACGAGTGTCGCTAAAGCGTTACGGAACTACAAAATTGCGTTGGATAAGACAATGGACCTATGTCGGGAGCCAGGTTGCCGGGTAATGGCATACGGCAGCAAAAGACACCACCTGTTGATCTCACAGAAATCTACCCAGAATCTGTTTCCCGGCTATTCGATCAAGTTCATCGACATACCAGCATTCCAGCATTCGTCGGTGCTTCACATTTCCGGTAAGATGATACGAGATATCAGTATTGACGTCGAGGACGAACTATTTACGGCTGCCACCAGCGAACGGTGCGTGAAGCTGTTTTCGTTTAACAGTCGATCGGTTGTTACTTTCATGCCCTCCGATGCGAACGTGTGGTCCTGTGCCTTCGATCGGGAGAGAAGCAAATTCCTGTACCTAGGCACCCAATCTGGCGCGGTGTACGTATATGACATCCGAAACAGCAGTCACTACGTGGAAGAGTTCCGAACAGAGGGCGATTGCTCTCCTATAATCAACATCTGCCCGGTGTCATCAAGTAGTTCCATTCCCTTCGGTGGCTTCCTCGTGTGTAAGTTGACATCTTGCTGGTTCTTCGAGTACACCGCGGCCCAGAGGGTCGAATCCACTCGATTGAACGTAGATGGTCCGTTTACTGCCATGAACTATTCCGAAAAGACTGGCTACATTATGCTGACCACCCGACCGAGCAGTCGCCATTCGAGAGCACGCTACATCCTTGCCAGCCTGGTTAAACTGGACTCCATATGTGCGCTGCATATTGTTCATACCATCGCGGGTTCTTCGGTTGAGCCCAACATGGTTCGTAGTGCTCAAATCAGCTTAGACAAGAACAACACTGTGATGGCGGCATACCTGCAGGACGACCGCCAGCTTGCGACCTGGAGTGCTAGCAAGGACAACGAACGCCTGCAAAGTCTTCCGGTGTCCGATGTCCTGTGGGATCTGTGTCCAATCTACGAATCGAACCAGATCTTCCTGGCAGCACTGTCGGACAGCAAGTGCCGAGTGTACAGGGCCTATTCTGATTAGTAGTGGTTAGGATGAGACGCGGCGACGGGCGCATGTAAGTACAATAAAACGATTGTGTTGTTGAGTTTAATGATACGGGGAGCGCAAAATGGTGAACTTTCGAAAGGTTTCCCGTTTGGTTCGCCTGTTATTGTCCGTGTCCGTGCGTATTAACTGTATAATATAGTCTTCACGAAATAAAATGTACCAAATCCACGATGACCACTGTTGCTAGGTTAGTTGAGTGATTTTTTTTAAATGATAAACTGCATTCGTACAAATAAAAGCCATCAATACGAGTACGTGCTTATACGGTGTAGGATTTGATTGGATGACAGCTTTGATGGGATTCTCGAAGGTCTACCTACCACCTCACATTTGCCGTATTTTCTCTTCATCAGTTATTTATTTATTTTTTAACCTCTTCATCGGATTTTGGTTGTTAAATGAGGATTTCTGGGGAAAAGCATATTTGATAAATATTTGCGCAAATAGACATATGTTTTCGAAATAAGGTAGAAGAACACAAGAAATAGAATAACATAAAAAAGCAAATAATAATAATAATAATACAAGGTCTGCAGCATACAATTAATGTCATCCTACTGCATGGAGTTGTCCGTGGATCAGTCAAGTCGAAGTCATCATCGCAGAGTTGATCGGGAACAAGCAATCGACAAAAGTTTGAGATTCGCTGCTTTATGAGATAACTTATGGATGCTTTATATTCGATATAATAGTTCTTACTTTCACCTCGCATCTTCAAGACCACTATTTTCAGTTCTCAACAAAATAGGGTAGAGAACTACTTCGGCCTAATCGCCCATTTTGGGCCTATCGAGCAGAAAACTTCAAGTAAATCCATGATTTCAGAATTAACAAGTCAATTATGCGTTTGGTACGATACTTTAGTCAATAAGCTACCGAACGAAGTCAATGAGAACGCGTGATATGAAGGTTTGCACCCATTATTCCCAAAAACAAAAGAAGCGCTCCTACCGAATCATTTTTTATCTTCATCCGATAGGCCGAAGTGAATTCATTGGCGTTTCAATGGCGTTTCAATGCGTTAGGCTAACTTTAGAATCAGTAGGCCGAGTTCGGCGTCAAGAAGCAGTGTTAGACTTTTGACAATATCTCAACGATTGGTTTCTCTTTGTCAAATATTACGGTACATACGGAAAGGTAACTAAACATTCCGTTTGGTGCTAAACTGCGTTAGATTAAGAAATATTAAGTGCGGGTTGTGCTTAATAGGCCGAAAATGGGGTATTTAACCCTACTGATGTGATGCAGTAAACATTGGGAAGAAATGTTGAACACGAAGTCACAATAGTTTGCGAGAGATGATGTGCTATGAAAAACTCAAAATGCAGAGCAAATCAACAATTATGACGATGATATGAGAAGTCTATCTGGTATCACATTGCAAGTCAGAGGCATTTTTGTAGTATCTCGTTTTTGCTGGCAACACTTGTTTTCCCTAATGGGTCTTCCTTAGCTCAGTCGGTTAAGGCGCAGCTACAAAGCAAGACCATGCTGGAGGTGGCTGGGTTCGATTCCCGGTCCGGTCTAGGGATTTTTCGGATTGGAAAATTTCTCGACTTCCCTGGACATAGAGTAATTGCCACTGAATTATACTAATGGGCTGTTCATAAACTACGTAAACATTTTTTTTTGGGTTTCTTGATCCCCCTTCCCCTGCGTAGACAATTGTCCATACATTTTTTTTTTAAATTTGTATGGGCCGTGGATAATTGTCAACCCCCCCCCCCCCTCCTAAACTGTCTATGTAGTTTATGAACAGCCCCTAATGCAAAAATGGTACAGGTATCGAAAGCTTCTAATTAATAACGGTGGAAGTGCATCTAGAACACTAAGTTGAAAGCACGCGATAAGCTAATATGCGATAAGCCTATGTCAGCTAGAGGTCTTCTATGCGTGCGGTGCTGTTGGCGTGTATCGAGGCGTGCTACTGTTACTACTAAAGGGTGCTACGATCAAAATTGGATCGACTTATACTTGACGGATTTATTTTAATCGAGCATTTAAAAAACCTGAACACCCCTCATTTTGTAGGTGTGTGCGTGCAGAATGATGCCTCTATTTTGATTCTGACATTATTGCTCTTCAGTTATGAAAATGGCGTCCAAGCAAGAGGAGCAACGCATCAAAAATTTTCACACGCATCTCGAAAATCCAAACTACTCGCACGACCAGTACATCAAGGCAGAATTCAACAAGCTTCCTGACTAGGATTTTTTTTCTTCCTTTATTTAGGAGATTTTTAGCCGTAGGTTAGTTCATCTCCGTAAGATTCCTGACTAGGATTTTATACGGCAACCGGAAGAGAAAAGATGGCAGACATTTTTAAGCATATGAAACTGTCGAAGTTCGCTAAGAAATATCTGGTTTAGCAGGCTATCTGTACCTGTGGCTTGCAAAGTGACATTTCATTGCAATCGGGACCGTAAACCGGGAAATTTAAGTGTTCGAGTGTTTGAAAATACGTCGTAATTTGCACGATTTTCGTATCTTACGTAAATTAGATGTTTAGCTCTAAACGGTTTTACTGACTCGAGGTCGTTCCTTAAGCGGTTTTGGTGCAGGTTAAACCTTTGGCGGCTGTCGGAATCAACGCGTCTACGTCTGCGGAGCTTACTCAGAAGTGATACGCAATTCGGTAGAGCTTGTCAAACGCTTTTGAGCTTATGTAGTATAAAACTTGTTCGGTACGGTCGCGAAATCTTGAAATGATTGATACATTCGTTAAATTAACTAATTTGATAAAAAGCTCAATAGTAAATAAGTCGAATATCTAGGGAGGAAACCAAAATTAATCAACTTGCCAACATAGGCTATCACAGTTATTTGGTGGCACTCTTTAAATGATAATAAGCCTTTTTTTCTCGCTTCGGTTGTCTCGCACGGCTCTCGGAATTCGCGCGGTTTTCGTAACTTCAGGGCTGTTACAACAGGCGTGGATTTCGCGAATTTAGCGGATTTCGCGATTTTCGCGGATTTGTCGCGGATTTGAACTTTCAGTCGCGAAAATCGCGGAAACATTAAATGATGCCGCGAAAATCGCGAAGGGACTGATATGCTGTCATAAAAATTGTGGAATTCATTGTAACCTTTCCGTCCCGGATTATTTTTTTTATTTGGCTCTCATTTTTTACCGGTTCAAACCAAACACCCTGCAAATAATTGAGAAATGATCTCAATTCCATAAGTCACACCGGATTCACACGGAAATTCCGAGGTCTGTCCAATGTGAGACATTTTCCTTTTTTATCCAATATGAACATAACATTTTTTTCGTCAAATGGTTGATCTAGTAGAATAAATCATCTGAACTCCAGAACGATTTGGAGAACTTAAAACATCTGGTATACACGACAATAGTCATGTGCATCTGTCTGGAAATATTTCGATACTAAAGACATTGTCCCAATCTCGGTTGATCTAGTAGATCAAATTATCTGAACTCCAGGATGATTTGAAGAACCTTGAGCATCTGGATTACTCGGAAATAGATTATGCATGATCCACATAAACACTTTGAATCTGATTGGACATTTTTCGATACTACAGACATTATTGCAGTCTTGGTTGATCTAGTAGAACAAATCAACTGATGTCCTGGACGATTTCGAATACCTATAATTTCCGGTATACAAAGTAATAAGTCGTGCATGATCCACAAAGTCTCATATATACGATTCGGTTATGATTTGACAACAAAAAGTGCTAGGTTCACATTAGAAATAAAAAAAAAAAAAATTGTCTCACCATTGGACAAAACCCAATGAATATCCACAACCGCGACGTGACCAACAAGTGTGACTTATGAAACTCTGGTAATTTCTCGATTATGTGCAGGGTGTTTGGTTCGAATGGGTCAAGTCTTGAAAACTAAGCTGTCACGCAGCTCCAGCTTGATACCCAATAATAAAAAAAAAGTTTTCGATGCCTGTACCATTTTTGCATTAGTATAATTGTGTGACAAGTACAATCATACTCTATGCCCAGGAAAGTAGAGAAATTTTCCAACCCGAAACATTCCTGCCGGGAATCGAATCCAGCCACTTCAAGCATAGACTTGCTTTGTAGCTCCGCCTTTACCACCTGAGCTAAGGGAGGGCTGAAAACGTCCAAGATATATGATAATCTGCTGTGTGGAAAATTGGCGTGTGTTATCATGGACGATAAAACATAGGTACGTCAAATGTGTCTACAAGACGCTTCCGGGAGACCAATACTACATAGTCCGAAAAATTTGGTAAGAAGGTCATAGTTTGGCAAGCGATATGTGAGTGTGGCAAGTTGGCCATTTGTAACGAAAGTGACGATGATTTCTTAAATTTACGTTCAGGAATGTTTGAATCGACGTATGTGGCCCATGATCCGTCAACAGCATGGCCCAGCACTATTTTGACCCAATTTGGCGTCAATGCACTACTCGAAAGACACGGTAGCTTGGTACAAAGCAAACAATCTGCAATACGTGTCCAAAGAGATGAATTCTCCCAATTGTCCGGGGGCTCGGTCAATCAAAACTTTTTGGGCCCCTTCCCAATGGATATCTACCACGGGGGCAACAATCACGAATTTCGGCGGAGCTCACATCAATGTGATTAATATAGTGGGTAAGGAGGATGACTGCAACAGACTACTCTTTCTAGCATTCAGCACTGCAATGCAAGTGTGAAAGAGTAAGCTGTCTTGTTCTGTCGTGCCTCCGTCAGTTTTACCGCTGTAAGTGTCAGATTTTCCAAAAATGTCAAGATCATGTGAGCATCTATATGTGGTTGACAGGGATAGGGTCCCCCTGATATCTACGGAAAGGCTTTAAGGCAGCGAATTCAATCGAAGAATTTGAAAAATACAAAAGTGGCCTTATTATCGCCAAGGAATATGTTCTGAAGCTCATGGGCAGCGTTCGATAAAAAGTTCGCTCCTTGGCATACGATTAAAGGAACTGCGGATTATTTTCATCCATTTGAAAGAGAATACTATACACGAAACGAAAATCAATTATTTTATTCATGTGTTTGACTCATACATTTTTGCCAAAACATCAGCCTTATACATTCCATAAGACAAACCACATAGGTCCTATAAGAATGCATAAAAGGTATGTGTGACCGCTTATACATTTCATTTGATACATGATCTTCATTAACTTTTTGCAAGGTGTCTGCTTATTAGTTGACTTATACATTTTATGAATAATCAGCAATAGAAATTTGCCAAAAGGTATAAGGAGATTTCTATCCGTGTAGAGAAACAATACATGAAATAAAAATTTG